GACCACCTGGGAGAGAGGATGGATGGAGAGAGAACAAGGCTTTACCTGCCCTCTGCTGGGCCCATCACTATGGCAACTGTATTTCTGCATATGATTTTATCTGAAAACATTTATCTAGTTAAAAGTTTGAAAACTAGTCTCTTTGTTTTTGTGAAAGTGTACCAAGCCACAGTCTCTTGAGGTTCCTTGCAGCTCCATCCAAACTAGCCTTCGAGCTGCTTTCTTGACAGTCCTTGCTGCCTATTTGTTGGGTGCCGTGGGAACTCAGGTAAATGTTAGCTCTGAGTTAAACAGCATGCTTGAAAGCAGGTGATTTTGGAACCATAGGTTCGTTTGAACTGTTTGTACTATCACTACCTGTGTGCTTCAGACAATTGGCTGTATTTATTCTCTGTGTTATCTTTTTTGGGATGTATATCTTTCCAACTGTGAAATCAGGTAACATTTTGATTGGTGCTGTATAACGCTGTGTCATAATTCAAATGGCAACTTTTTTTTTTTTTAAACTTCTTAAGTGGTCACAAAATAATGCTGCTTTTATAGTTAGTATCATCTTAATTTTGATGACATTGTACTGCTTTAAAATAGTTATTTCTGGGGTGGCACCTGTGGCTCAGTGAGTAGGGCGCTGGCCCCATATACTGAGGGTGGCTGGTTTGGACCGGCCCCAGCCGAATTGCAACAAAAAATAGCCAGGTGTTGGGGTGGGTACCTGTGGTCCCAGCTACTCAGGAGGCTGAGGCAAGAGAATCGCCTAAGCCCTAGAGCTGGAGGTTGCTGTGAGCTGTGACACTACAGTACTCTACCGAGAACGACAAAGTGAGACTCTGTCTCTAAAAAAAATCTGGTAGATTGAAGGGTGGAGGAGTTTGCTTAAATGTTCCCTTAAAGAGGCCTTCCTTGACCTACTGCGTTTAAAATTGCAACCTTCAGCAGTGCCCATAGCTCAGTCGGCAGGGCAATGACCACATACACCGAGGGTAGCGGGTTCAAACCTGGCCCTGGCCAGCTGAAAACAATGCAACTACAACAACAACAAAAAAATAGCTGGGCATTGTGGCAGGCGCCTATGGTCCCAGCTACTTGGGAGGCTGAGGCAAGAGACTTGCTTGAGCCCATGAGTCTGAGGTTGCTGTGAGCTATGACATCGCGGCACTCTGCCCAGGGTGACAGCTTGCGACTCTGTCTCAAAAAAATAAAAATAAAATAATGCAACCTTCATTCCTGCTTTGTCTTGATAGTACTTGCTTCTTCTAAGTGTTTGCTCATACATATTGATTGCTGTTGTCTTTGTTGCTCAATAGGACAAAGATTTTGGCATCACCAACACCTGACACATAAATAACTTGCTAAATGAATGGATGACTCATGGGGGTTACCCAGACCTGTAGGTGAAATGGGTTTGGAAGGGTGTTAGTAGCAACAGATATTCATGGAATCCAGTGGAAAAATAATAATTGCAGTGACTGGTCTTTAGTGTCTAGAGGGCCTAGGAAGCAACAAAATCCAGCTGGGGGTAATTGTGACAACAAAGGCACATTCTTATGGGAGGAGAGCGTGGGAGAGGTAGAAGGTAAATAGGTTGTGGTTAAAGAAGGGAATTTCCCAAGGTTTAGATATTAAAAATGGAACAATCTGAGAGTTAATGGTGGCAAGGTTGGTGGAACCCTTCATTTTGCTGGGAATGGACTGTATCACTTTTAATTGCTCCTGGCTTAGCCTGTAGCCTCTCTTAAGCTTACTGTATTTAGGTAACACCAAATGGCTGTATATAAGTCAGGTTTTATTTTCTTAGGTCTTTCGTTGTTGTTGTTGTTGTTGTTGGAATATGGCTATATGTGGTGACCTGAGGAAACAGATAAGCATGTTAGGGAGGATGTCAACCTCACTTGAAAGCCCAGTTTGCGGAGAAGCTGTTGGCCCCTCATCTGGTACACCTGACTACTTGAGTGATTCCATTGCACTTTTAAGTGACCATCTTGCAAGTGCCTTTCTATTTGAGGTCATTTTACTCAGAGTAGAGCAGCTTGGTAGCACATTTAGTATAATATGTGCTGGTCTTATTTTCCACCATTTTGGGGGAACCGTTCCTGAAGATGGAAATTGCAGAATGACTTTCTGAGTAGCACTGTTACCATAACCTAATGCATGATTTTCTATATTTCACTGTAACATATTTTTACCTCTAAAATTCCAGTTATTCTCAGGTATACTATTTTATTTTTTTAAGACAGAGGCTTGCTCTGTTGCCCCAGGTTAGAGTGCCTAGCATTAGCCTAGCTCATAAGAACCTTAAATTCCTGGGTTCAAGTGATCTTTCTGCCTCAGCCTCCCAAGTCGCTGAGACTCTAGGTGCCTGCCACAAGGCCTGGCTAATTTTTCTCTTTTTAGTGGAGGTAGGGTCTTGGTTTTGCTCAGACTGGTCTTGAACTCCTGAACTCCCAGAATTCTCCTGCATTGGCCTCCTGGAATGTTAGGATTGCAGGCTGAGCCACCACGCTGGGCCATGCTGGTATATATTATTAATGACAGATAGGTATGATTTAGTAGGAAAAAACTCTGGAGAGACAGTTGAAGTCATCTTTGCATTGTTAGTGGATAGATAGTGTGTCTGTTATTTCTTTGTTTAATTAACAAATTCTTAATTTTAAAACCTGATAATCTCAAATAAAACCTCCCTCCTTCCTCCTAGAATCTCAGGGGTACTTTACCACTCAATTGTTTGCTTCGGTGAGATTATAATAAATATGATCTAGGGGATTCAAGGATGTTAATGTTGTAAGGACAGTACAAATAAAGAATATCCCAGATAAGGAGGAAAGAGTTGATGGAGAGCACAATCTGTTACTGTATTTGATCTTTGAGCTTCTAGACATGTAATCAGATGGTGTTTGAAGGTTGTTTTCACCTGTTTAATGCTTTCAGAGGAAATAGGATTTTCTGACAGAAGTAGAAAATGGCAGATGAGTGCTTATGAAGGCAAAGCTAGCTTATTAAGAACTATTTTTAAATGAAAGAATAAGGAAGAAAATTTCAGCGTGTAACTTCTCCATGCCAGATAACATAGACATAGTTCTTCACGTGCCTTCTCTAATTCTCAAAACAGTGCTTAGATTGTAATATCTCTGTGTGCAGACAATGGAAATAAGGTCCAGAAGAGTGAAGAAATTTATCTTAACATCACATAGCTAGGAAATAAAATTCTTAGAGTTGAAACTTTCAACTCTGTGTGTAGATATACCGTATGTCAAACTAATAAGAAAAGATAGCCACACCAAGGACAAGGGCTTCAGCAATTTATATTTGCATTGAACACAGAAGAGGCTGCTTACTACTTGAAATGAGTGCCCAGGTACAGTGACTGAGGAATATGAGACTGTGCAGTGTACCATTGTGTGCCTCATCCCTGTTCATCTTATGCACAAACGCTCCTTCCTCTGGTACAGAAAGCACAGCGTAGAGTATCTACTGCACTATTTTTCAGCCTTTTTTATCTCATGACACACTTGAACCTAGAGTTAAACTTTCATGGCATACTTAAGTTATGTTGATTTAAAAAAAAGAACATACTTAACGGTGCTTTGAACTTCTTCCAAAAATAATGATCTTAAAAAATTTTCATAGCACACCAGTTGAAAATCAGTGTACTGTACTGTATTGCAGCAAGCATCGTGGTCATGGGTGTACCTTCTAGGAGCAAGGGTAGACTTGGAGGTGCTGTGGCCTTTAGTGAAGAAATCCACTTTGCTTGTTCAAAACAATTGGCTTGTAATAGTGGAAAGTTCATTAGTGAGAGAAATACACAGAGAGTTCATTCACATTTTGAGGCCTATTCCAGAAATGCTTTGTTATATATCTGTACCCTTGTTGGCTTTATCTGTACATGAAATGTGTTTATCATAATCTGAGTTGAGCAAAACTGTTCATTTTATAATCTAAAAAATAGGATTTAACAATTATATTGACAAATGTTAAGTAATATGACATTATACTAGCTTTTCTCTGTAGAGTTGACTTTAAGAATTTTGAGGGTGTTCTACCCATTGTTATAGGGCTCAGGATACACTTTTGAGGGTTGGAGTTACAGGTTCTTCTGTGATTATCTTAAGTTTTAACTTATTTTAAGAGCAATTCTTTTTTTTTTTTTTATTTGAGACGGAGTCTTACTACATTGCCCTCGGTAGAGTTCTGTGCCATCACAGCTCACAGCAACCTCAAACTCTTGGGCTTAAGCAATTCTCTTGCTTCAGCCTCCCAAGTAGCTGGGACTTACAGGCGCCTGCTGCAACACCCAGCTATTTTTTTTTTTTTGGTTGCAGTTGTCATTATTTAGCAGGCCCAGGCCGGGCTCAAACCCACCAGCCTCAGTGTATGTGGCGGCGCCTTATTCAGTGAGCTGTGGGCGCTGAGCCTTTAAGAGCAATTCTTTTTTTTTTTTTTTTTTTTTTTTAAATTATAGCTGTGTACATTAATGCAGTCATAGGGTACAATGTGCTGGTTTTATATACAATTTGAAATACTTTCATCAAACTGGTTAACATAGCCTTCATGGCATTTTCTTAGTTATTGTGTTAAGACATTTATATTCTACATTTAGTAAGTTTCACAAGTACCCTTGAAAGATGCACCATAGGTGTGGTTAAGAGAATTCTTAAGAAGCCTTACCTCTGTTGAAACCAGCTAAAACCATCTTCCTTACGCTGCTTTGTTATTCGGTGGTTAGCGCAATATTAACTACCTTAAAATGTCAAACTTTTTTTTATCTTGGTCAGAAGAACATCCTTAAGGAACCATGCAGTTTTTATTGAATCCATCTGAGATCACTTGTGAGAATGGAGTGGTTACTTACATGCCTGGATCATCGGGGAGGTATATATAGCAGTTTTTTGCTGCAGAACCTCAAAGAGCTGTCAAGTTAGAAATATTACTAAGACATGGAAGGTTAAACCTATGCTTGGGAGATAAAATATATATGTTAACCAGAGATTGCTTGCTTACAGAGAGAATGCTGGAGAACCAGAGTCCTGGAGTAGTTTATCCTACGAAATACCGTACGGAGACTGTTCTGTAAGGCATCATCGAGAGTTGGACATCTATACATTAACCTCTGAGTCTGAATCACGTCACGAACCCCCATTTCCCGGAGACAGTTGCACTGGACATATCTTTAAACTTATGAACATCCAACAGCAACTAATGGTAAGGAAGGAAATCTCCATGTTTAAGTGTGTGCCTCCCCCCACTCCCTCTGCAAATGAACCTTGATATAATTAATTAGAGCATGAAAAAGCTCTCCCCAAAGACTGTGAAACCTCTAAGGCAGTGTTAGTAGTATTAGATGTTACCACTTACCTAGCATTAGGGTTGTAGCAGTAGAGAGATTGAGGGATTTTTTTCATTGGTTTTTGTTAGGCTTTTGAAATAATGAAAGATTGTCATATACATACATTACAGATAGAGAAATATAGAGCAACTACAACTAAATTTCCCTGGCACAACAGGAGATTTGTCTGTGTTTAGTTTAACTTTATAAAATGAAATGAACAAAAGAGTTTATGAGATTATTGCAAAAGAACAAGAACTTAAATTTACCCAGAAATAAAGCCTTTTTACAACGATTTTAGTGAATGATGATAGAGTTACTATATTTAAATTGATAGTTGTTTGGTAAAAAGATCACTGAAAAAAATAAAGATTTTATAATCTACTCAAGTCTTCAAGATAAAGTTGTTGCCAGACATAAAAACATTACAGACTCCCTGGTAGCATTTATTATGGATAATATAAACGTCATATGGGTACATCTCTCTTGGCCATAACATCTGAAAGGCTAAGTTTAGATGATTTTTCCACCCAGTTTATTTCAGAGCTGATTTGATTTGGAAACAGCTTGACAATAATTTCATTTCCGGTCATCGAGGGCCAGCTCAATACCAGAGGCGGCTTTGGGAGCAGGCATTATTTTTGGCCAGTAGTTCAAGAGACTTCATAGTAAGGTGGTATCATGCTCCCTCTGCCTTTTAGGGTCGTGACCTCTGCCTTTTAGGATCATGTCTATTCCATAGCAAGTGACTTTTATTTTCCACTAAACAGTCTGCCAGGAAATCAGATTTTTCCCTTAGCTCATTTTAGTAGGTAAAAGATAGTCCAATTGACAATACTGGTTTATAGGTATGAAAGCCACCTACAAGGTGTGGGAATGGCTGGTAGGAAAACATGAGAAATGAAAACTAGGGTAGCACACATAGGTTATGAGCATTTCAGTTCTTCAGGACACACCTCGTTTCTCCAGATCCGTTCTTTGTTAAATTTAAGGACCTACTATCATGATTTTTAGCAGATTGTCATACTTGTAGCAGGAATGGTAACAAGCTAATTTTGAATACTGCTGAACATAGCACTGAAGGTTTTTTAGTAAAAGTTCATTTTGCTTTTGCTCGTACTTTTTAGTAAAAAGACTTTAACGAACAGCACATTGTAACACATGTGCAGACTTTTATAATAGATTGAGTAAGTAGATAGAACCGTCTAGTGATGAAGTCTTAGAGGTGCTCCATCTGTTTCCCAGGTGCGTGAATGAGAGAATGGATGGCAGTAGATATGCATGAGGTCATTGTGGTAGATTAGAGGATGAGTGGAGAGCAAACCAGATGTTCTAAAATGGTCTTTATGTTTTAAAAATAGTATTAGAAGAATTCTCAAAATTTTGACATGCAGATAAATTAACTAAAGATCACCTGTGATTTTCTGTTTTTCCCATGTCTGTACATGGTATTTTTGCATAAATATCTTAGATTAAGTATGGGTTTTATTTTTTTCAACACTGTGTTGTAAATATTTTTTCTGAATGCAATATGACTTTCATAGTTAATTCTTATATAACAGCATATTATTTCTTCTACCAGTTTGAATCATAATTATCTTAACCATTGCCTTGTTTTATCTACTTAATTTTAAAATTTTAAGGTTCCAAAAACTAGTTTTGAGATGAGCTACAATATCCATGGTACCTTCTGACAGTAATCAAAAGTAAAATGTTAGTGTTACTGTGTATGTGTTCTTATCCATTTCATATTTGTATTGGACAGCAGAGGTTAAAGAATGTGTACCATGCGCTACTGTTCTTGAAATTATGAGCCTGTAACTAAAATGGTTATGTTACGGTGGGGTGGAGTGTCTTTGGGAGATTAAAGAATACTGTGTAACTCCTCAGTAAGCATTCATGCACAAGAACATCTGCCTGCACCTTGTGATTGAAAAGAATTTATCAAACTGTTTAGGATTGGTTTTTACTTATAAATATGAGGCAGGCTAGAAGTAGGCTGTGCCCCTCTAAAGACCCTATAAAAGTATCTTTCTCAGCTGCTCATTTAAAGATATCCACTGGGGTTTTTTAAATTAAGATTTTTGAGACTCCGTTTTTATCTTAATAAAATAAATTTAAAATGTAGAAAGTAGTTATTTCGTGTATCCTAAATCATTCGTAACATCCCAGTAGATATGCAGATGCAGGGAAAGAAACTCATATCAGGAATAATAGAAAATTTATTTGTATTTTTTTTAGATCAGCTTATGCTGTGACCTTAGAAGGGCTGGAATGGCACTGAGTTCTGTCCAGTAAGAGTTTTGCTTATAGTTATCAGTGACCTCTTTTCCTGTGGGTGGTGTTTCAAAATCATCTTTCATTTCTTCCTAGAAAACAAACCTTAAGCAGACGGACACTCTTACACCCTTAATGATGACAGCACAGGACTCTTTCAGCCCACACCGTGCCCCAGAGACAGATGGACAGTCCCTTCTCTGTGCATCCGAGCCCACAGGCACCCAGCAGCTGTCTTCTGAACAGACCAAGAGTGCACCTTGCTGCCGAGGGAGTCCTGGTGGGCAAATCGACGGTCCCTGTGACTTACCAAACATGACTGATGATGAGAATGCAGGCTTTTCCCTTAGGAGGAAAAATAAAGATGCGGAAAGAGAAGCAGAAGGGGTGGAGCCAGCACCTACTGGGGACTCCAGAGCTGTATCGAATAGAAGCAACTGTCTCCAGAGCCTGCCTGACTGGGGAACAGAAGGCTTAGAAGGAAACAGAAATGAAGAAACTGGAACAGAGTCTTCTAGAATGGCCACATACCAGAAGTCTCTGAGCAGTGGAGACAGTGTACTGCAGGGAGACATGGTCATGGAGCCAGGCACAGCCCAGTGTTCCTTGGGAGGTAAACTGGCAAGCAATTCATCAACAGATGCCAGCACCCCAGAGACTGCAGGGGAAACGGAACATGGTCTCGTGAACCCAGAGGCAGGTGTCCAGAAGAATGTGCCTCAGGTAGGGGGAAGTACAAAGGAGAGATCAGAGAATACTAACGTCAGCACAGCTGGAGCCTCGGGTGCACAAGGCACAAATAAGCCCATGGATGAAGCCATTGTATCAGACTGTGTCTCTGCCGCAGGTTCCCTGTGTGGTAACAAACCTGCCGAGTCTTTACTCACATTTAATAATAGAGAGACCGCCATTGAAAAAACAGCAGAAACTGAAACTTCACGAATTTGTGAAGAGAGTGCTGGTGCTCCAGTAGATCAGAGCACTCTGGTCATTCCAGCCACTGCAAAAGACAAGAGTTTAGAAGGCTCAGAACCCAGAACTCCCTCAGCAATATGCCAGGCAGTGTCACCCTCAGCTTTAACCTTTCCTGAGCTAGGAAAAGATGTAATTCCAGGCCAGAAACCAGAAACAAATTCATCTCATGCTCAAAGCCAAAAGAGTGAGTCACCTGTTTGTTCTACAACTGGAGATGGTAAACTTTGTGTTGACTCTGCCTGTCAACAGAACAGAGCGACTTCTAGTGGTGAGGTAGTTGCAAAGCAGTGCAGTGACATAGCCAGCCAGCCGGAAAGCACCACAACAGGGCAGGCCAGCACACTCGCCCTGCCCACTGCTGTCTGCTGTGAGGACTCACAGGCCAACACGGCCACCTCTGACCCTGTAAGAGATGCCCAGGAAGGTGTGGATTTTTGTTCTCTTAAAGTTTTGAATAAAGAGGGCCAAGGAAAAGATCTGAAACGAGATAAGCCTTTCACAAATACAATTGAGGGAGTTTCACATCCACATCCCGTTGTCCCTAAAACAGAGAGAGAACTAGCTCCAGACCAGGCACTGATCTCAGACGGCACTTTCTCTCTGGCAAACACTCCAGGCAGTGAATCAGTAACCAAAGATGACGTAATTTCTTTTGTCCCCTCCCAGAAAGAAAAGGGAACAGCAACTCCTAAACTCCATACGGCTACAGATTGTAGAAATGGCTCAGATGGAGATTCGCATGGTCCCCGTGAGCAGCCAGTAGAAGACAAAGCAACAGGCCCGGCTGCCTCAGAGCCTGAGCCCAGCATGGGGAATACCAGCCCCACAGGATGTGCTGGAGAGCACGAGGGTCCCGGTCTCTCAGCAACCTCTGATGTTCTAAATGTCGAGGAGGGTACTGACTCGTGCCCACTAAGTGTGGGCAAGGACACTTTGGCCTCCGGTATGGTTTTGACCGAAGAAGGAAAAAATCTGGTGGCTCCGGAAAGCTTGGCAGCTCAGGGAAAACGTGACAGAGATGAACTAGTGACTTATCCGTCCTCTAAGGAAGATACTATTTCTTCGGGAACAGTGCAAGAGCAGCTCAGACCACCACCTCCTGGACAAGAGACACCGGGATTTCTTGAAAAACCCAACTCAGCTGCCTGTGCCAGGGACAGTGCACTTCACAGTCAGTCACTGGATACACCCTCTGCCTGTCTGAAGGCAGAAACTAAACCTGACAAGGAAGTGGCTCCACGAGTCTCACTGCTGACCGAAGGTGGGGCTGCACAGAGCCTGGTGCCACCTGGAGCAAGTCTGGCCGTGGACTCGAGGCAGGAAGCTTTGGGCGCAGAACAGAGCAGCTCACTTCTGTTGCCAAATGGGTCTGAGACTCTTCACTGCCTTCGACCTTGTGCTCTGGATGTTGGAGTGAAGAGCACTGAGTGTCAGGGAGCAGCCACCTGTGAGGTGAGGGGAAATGTGATGGTGGATGCTGTTGTGTCTCAGCGAGGCACTGAGGGGCCCAAAGGAAAGGATGTGTCACACAGTGCCCAAGAGAAGAGTATGATCCTGGGTTTGCCAGGAGCTTTGCCAGACAAAGGTGAGACTGACCTACAGCAAGCTGCAAGCCCAGAGATAGCACCTCTTAACTGGGAAAAAGGGAAGCTGGAGGGAGCAGATGACAGCTGTGCCAAAGGCGACTCCAAGGAAGCACAAATGGATGGCAAAGCACATCCTGTACTACTGCAGCCTGTTGCCAGGGAGCTCCCCACGGACACAGGGCTCTCAACTCGTGATAATGAGGCCGCAGCTGGTGTGAGTGAAGTCACAAGAACTGTGTCCCCAGGCAAAGGAGGGAGACCTCCTTCACCACCTTGCGCAGTCTCTGCACAAGCCGCACATCTGTCTGAAGGAGAAGACTTGATAGAGGTGGCTGCCAGCCACATTGTGGATGCTGTCATCGAACGGGTCAAGGCCTTGGGAGTACCACTCCCTGTGGGGGAAATCAGGCACCCATCACTGTCTAGTCCTAAGTCGGGCCCTCTGACTAAACAGCTGGAGAATGCTCCCACGGAGGAAGTGAGTGCGTTTTTGCCTGAAGAGACCTTGCCAGTGGGCAGTATTTGTGAAGAATCCTCGCAGAATTTTGCAGGATGTTTTGCTGGAAGGAAGGAGCCGGAGAAGATTATTCTGCCTATCCAAGGGCCTGAGCAGGCAACAGGTAAGCAAAGCAGAGTACAAAACTAGTAGTTCAAGAATTGGATTCCCTTGAGTCTCTGTAATATGCTGGCAAAAAGATAAGCACAAGACATTTTTATTTCTATGTCTTATGTTCGTTGGGTAGATCCCCAAGTTAATAGTCAACCACCATTCGGAGAGCATGTCATCTCAGGGGTGGACAGATTCTGCTTCCGTATTTGTATTGTAAACTCATGGCTTGATTGCTTCAGCCTATAAATAGTCTCTGTCACTCTGGAGCTGTTGGAACTTTCCAAACCTGGAAGTCAGTGACTAGATGATAGGTGCTCTAAAGTAATGAAGTTAGTAGATGTCTTTATTCACAGGGCTTACTTTCCTCTAGTATCATAGTAAACAGTGCTGAAAAGATGTGTTTCATTTACAATACTGAGAATCCCTTCCTTTCCTATCATTTTAGTCTATATTCTGAGCAAATTGAAAGTCAAAATGGTTTCATGAACAGCTGTGAGTATTCTTATAAGCCGATTGCCTGAAATCCAAAATGGTGATATTAGGTCATTGGTTTGGGGGTAAAGGAGGACTCCCTCCTTTTTTTGCCTGAGGAGCCGACTCTCGGTTCCATTGCCTGTTGCTTTTGGGCAGCAGTCTGGGAATTCAGGACTCTGCACAGCACAGGGGATCGGATGCAGGATTTCCGCCCAAGCCCAGTCTGCTGAGCTGCTGTCACAGGGCAGACCTTGCGTCTGCTTATCTTGGTGAAGCAGCTGCAGCGAGCAGATTGCTCACACAGCAGCCCGTTCCATCTGTGGGTAACCATGGCCAGGGACAGCAAAGAGAAAACCACTATTGCTAAGTGGAAATAAACCATCTGAGTAAAACTTCTTATTGGGGGCTGAGGCTGAAGCTAGAGCCAGACACAGTGTTGACTCCTGAAGTCTTTAAAGGTCAGTTTGATGCACACTTTTGTATCACTACCTGTTACCAGCTGTAGGCTAAAGACCCGTCTTCATGCTTACACCTAGACTTCTCTAGGTAAGAAGTAACTTCTTTTTTGTCTTTATGGTTTGATAAATTGTTCTTGCTGTTCTTTTTAATTTTTGAAAATCCTTTTATGTATAGTATGTATTAAGAGTATGGGGGGTGGAGAGAAACGAACAAACAAAAGTTGTTAACAATGGCCAACAATTTAAATACAGTGGTAGTTTTCCTTGGTGAAGGGTGTTCAGCCATTTCTAATCTTTCTTTTTCCCAGTTGAGGGATTTAAAGAATTTGACTGCGATGTAATTTTTTGAGACTTCAGGCTTTTAGTTTTATTAATGTTTTGGATTGTTACTGATATTTTTTGGCTTCTCTAACAGAATTTAAATGAGAAAGTCTCTAATTTTTAATATAAAGCACATCAACAATTCTATTTTGGGGGCCCTGGCAGGTTGGCATTTTGGAAGAACGGGAGTGGCTGTAAGCTGATGCCTGGTTATGTTCTTTTCATTTGGATGCTGCGTCCTTGGCCACACAGGCTGGAATTATTCCTCTTCCTGGCTCAGGGGTCAGAATTTAATTGGAGCAAATGTAAACTATGGCACTCTATAGTACTCTATGAGAAAAGGTTAAAACCAGGGAGAGTTTTAGGCTTTGATTTTAATTAGTACATAAATATGGCATAGATGCTGAGAAGTGATAGCCAACATGTTAACATACTAAGAAGGAAGAAAGAGGATGAAGTTTCAATAGTGTTATATGAGTTTGGGGGTTGCTTAATTTTGTGTAGGCGAGTTGCTTGTTCCTGCTACCAGGGCTGAGAATAGCCTTGGTCTTCATGATCTCACAGTACAGAGAAAAGCAGCCATCAGTGAAGAAATTGGTGCTTTTTTTCAGAAAACAGCCAGGACTGGGGAAAGTCCCTAGTCATGTTGCCCTAGAGAAAAATCACCTGAATGTGATCAGAACCAAAGGGTATTTCTTAGCCACTGTACATTCCACTCATAGATTTAACCATTCTCTTTTATGAGTGAGGAGTTACAGGTTTAACTGCTAGTTTGGAACGAACCAATTAAAAAGAAGGGGATGTGATGTGTCACCCATCGGGAGCATTGGGCAGTGTTAGAAGTTGAGGGTGCATGACTCTGGTCCTGCAGAGGTTGCCAGCACCCCCCATGCCTCAGGAAACACTGTTCACTGGTGTGGCTGGTTGCTAAGGCAAGGTACTTATCTTCAGTTGATAGGTATAGGAAAGTAATAAGGTTGTGCCGAAAGTCACATTCCCAGATTAATAAATTAAAAATCAGCAGCAGCCCCATTTACCCTCAGAAATAGAAATGCTTTGACCAATGAATAATTCTAAGGGGATTGCGTAGTCATTTTTTTCAAAACTTTAATTACATTTTATGAAATTTAACACAAATTTTGGTTCTCTGGCAAGGAAACTTGTTTATACACTTTTAAACTGCTAGTAAGATGATATTATAAGGGCAAAGAAGAAAAGAGATTTACAAGTGTTCATTTATACAAATGTAGCTTTCCTAAACCTCACGTAGACTTTTTGTACATGTCATCTGTGCTGCTGGACTAGAATCTTCCTCTGATAGTGGTGAGAGAAACTCTTCTGCTCTTTGGTATGGGAAGCATTTTTCTCTGGCAGAGTAGTGGCACCACTCGTGACAGAAAGTTTTTCACGTGAAGCTGAGATGCAAGTTTCGTTTGTATTTGGGTTATTAAGGTGCATTTTTACTGTTCAACCATGAGTCTCCTTTGAAGAAGTGTCAGGAGACTAAATTTGTATCAGACATCATTTTTATCACTTCCTTCCTGTATTTGCTTGACCATATGGTGGTCAAGTAACAAAAAACACCACTGTTTTGTCTGTGGAGCATGGCCAGCAGGAGGTCAAATTTGTAATTCTAGAGAAAACAGGTATAAAGACTTTTTCTGAAGAAAAGGAATTGGTAGTTTGTGATTATGTTTTGGTTTAGGAAGAAATAAAATTTAATAAACAAAAAATAACTTGGTAGAATAGTTGAGACTTACTAATTGCAGCGATGGGTGGAGCAGGGTGTGTAGTGTGTTTTTACAGAAAGTCAGACTGGTCCCAGAGGCTTTGTCCCATTCTCAGTGGCTTTTTTCTTTTTGTCTTGTGCAAATCTCTCTTGCCTTTTTGATGATGACCAAGATGGACGACCTAACTTCAGCCAGTCTGTTCCCTTAAAGGTTATGAGTTTACTTTTCCATACCTAAGTCAGAATCACACCCATGGATTTGTCATGAAAAGTCAGTTGTGAAAATGGACATTCACTAGTCATTGAATTGGATCTTCCCCTTAGCTTTAAATCCCTGCGAAGGCTGGGGAACCCCCACCCCAACCCCCCCAAAGCATGTGATAAAGGAATAGCTCAGCACAGAGTCAGAAATGACTCCAGCTCTTGACTGCAAAAGAATATTTTTCCAATTAATGCAAAGGCAAAAACAAACAAGACACATGAAACCTGGAGCCTGTTGTGTAAATAAGAAGTCTCAGGAGCCCATTCTTTCAAATGTACTCTGTAACCAACCCCCTTGTTCTCTTCAGATATGCCGGACACGAGAGCTGATGATGAAGTGGATTTTCTGAGTAATACCATTGCGAGTTCGGTTTCTGAAGAGGCAGCTGCAGGGAGTGTGGCTGTTACACTTTCAGTGAAACACAGCCTGAAGACCCAGGCGGTAAGTGGCATCAGTGATTTGTGAGAGCACCGTGCGCCTGTAGCCTGGTTGGCTGTGTCTGGCTTTATGGCTTTGTTGTTAATCCCCCCCCCCCTTTCTTGTTACGTAATGTGCGTGTGTTGTTGCAGTTAACGTCTGTGTAGGGTATGTACCACACAGCAGGGTTTGGGAATGAGCCTCTCCTACGTGAATTCCTTGGCGATTATGATGACCAGCATTGTCTCCATGAGCACAAGACTTTGAAATTTGTCATCAAGCTTAGAGTATTACAAAATGAGAGTTACCAAAAAAGGGGGGGGTCTATAAAAGCCTTGATTAAACTCTTCTTTCTTTATATAGAAACTGGTAGCAAAAATTAGATTTTTTACTTCATAGCTCATCTAAAATGTGAATGAAGTATTTCACTTTTGGGGGTAAAAAAGATTGAATAAGTTTTTTTATAATAGTTTATTGTGATATAACTCACATACCATAAAATAAGCCCATTCAAATATAGCACACAGTTCAGTGTATTTTAATATATATACACATATAGGTTAGTGCACCTGTCACCACTGTTGTAATTTAAGAATGTTATCACCCTAAAAAGAAACCCCATACCCACTGAATAGCTCCTGCCCCCCTCTTTCCCCTCCCACAGCCCCAGCATTCCCTGGCCTGCCCTCTGTCTCTGGATTCGCCCATTCTGGAACCTCATATAGATGGAATCACCCAATAGGTGGCCTTTCATGACTGAATTCTTCGCTGAGCATGTTTTCAAGGTTCATCCATGTTTAGGATTGATCAGTATTTCATTTCTTTTTATTGCCAAATAGTATTTTGTTGTGTGACTGTTCCATGTTTTGTTGTACATTTGGATTGTGGACACTTTTTGGTCTTATGATTAATACTGCTGTGAACATTGGTGTGCAAGTTTATGTGGACGAATGTTTTTACATACCTAGCAGAAGAAATGGTGGATTTTTTTTTTCTTTTAATAGAGGCAGAGTATCTCTTTATTGCCCTTGGTAGAGTGCTGTGGCATCACAGCTGACAGCAACCTCCAACTCCTGGGCTTAGGTGATTCTCTTGCCTCAACCTTCCAAGTAGCTGGGACTACAGGCACCTGCCACAAAGGCTATTTTTTTGTTGCAGTTTAGACGGGGCCGGGTTTAAACCCACCACCCTTGGTATATGGGGCCACAGACGCCGCCCAGAATTGCTGGATCTTAATAGTAATTCTGTATTTAACATTCACTAGATATTTAAAAGTATTTCTTTTCAGGGCCTTGAGATTATTTTTATTCTTGTTTAAAGCTACTAACTTTTAAAACAAGGGAACTTGAGAGAAACAGTGCTCTACACTTTAGAGTCCATGATGGTCAAAGAAAACTTTTTAGAAAGCTGAAAATCAAGTTACCAGAATAACTCATACTGCCCCTTTTTGAAAATTGGTGCCCCGTGGCTGGACTTGACAGGGGATTGTTTTTGGTCTTCAGAGGGCTAAGTTGGAATTTTTTCTTGAAGTTACCTCAGTAGGTAAACAGAATCATCAACTATCTCAAGCTGTTTCAAGCATATGAGTAGTGATAAACAAGTCTTGTTTTATTGGAGGACAGTGGTAAGAAGGTGCTGACTCTTCCAACCCACCCCAGTACAGATAGTATTCATGACTAATACCTGGGTGGTGACTTGTATAGCAGGCGTTAATTCAGACAAATGTTGCTTTTGCCCTGGGGGAAGAAAAGAGAACACACCCTGCATGGGTACATGTGTCTTTGTTTCCAGACGCCTTTCAGAAAGGAAAGGAAAAAACTCACATCCTTGAATTGAATCGCCTATTTCTTAGTCCTCCATTGTAATGTTGTGGTGTCATCGAATCCAGGATGGTGCTTGGCTGCAGGCCCTTTGCTTTTTTTTTTTTTTTTTGAGACAGAGCCTCAAGCTGTCCCCCTGGGCAGAGTGCCGTGGCATTACAGCTCACAGCAACCTCCAACTCCTGGGCTCAAGCGAGTCTCCTGCCTCCGCCTCCCAAGTAGCTGGGACCACAGGCGCCCGCCACAACGCCCGGCTATTTTTTGGTTGCAGCCGTCATTGTTGTTTGGCGGGTCCGGGCTGGGGATTCGAACCCGCCACCTTAGGTGTACGTGGCTGGCGCCTTAGCCGGTTGAGCTATAGGCGCCGAGCCAGGCCCTTTGCTTTTTGATGAGGGATATCTCTATCCTGATCATAACTTGTCTGCTATAAAGAAGGAAAAAAAAAAGTCCTTTCTCTCCCAACTCCCTTTCCTCTTATTTTTCTTCTAGTTTCAGGAATTGAGAGAGAGAATCTGGTTGATCAGCATGCCTCATTTTTAGGTAAAAGAATAAACCTTTGGAGAGTCACATGACTAGTTCACGGTCAAACCCAGCTGGAAGAAGAGTTTGGGGGTTGATTTTCTAACCGAGGACTTACCCAACAGGGAAATTCCCAGGCTCTGTGATTGGTGGAGATATTTTAAGAATCTTTAGAAGCATATAATTTGCTGGAAGAGGTCTATACTTTGGTCTGCTTCTACCTTACATAGTGGAGAAAAATCTATGTGAATGGGAAGGTCACTTCACAGTTTTTAGTTCAGAATACTAGAAGTTTTTGTGTTCACAGCATTGTTATAGCAATGTGAAATCTTGACCCTCTGTTGCTCTGCCAAATGTGCCTTATTTGCTGTGAATTGAAAGGTCAAGCATGAGCTCACGTTTAAATGTTCTGTGTTTCATTCTCTTTTCCCATTTAACTCTTCATAGACTGCATTCATTGTGTAGGCATTCACTGGTTCAGGAAAGAGCAAAGGTCTACAGACTTTTCTGTGAGGGACAGAGAGTAAATATTTTAGGCTTTGTGGAACAGTCGCTGTCACAGCCAGTCAATTTTAGTTTTACGGTGTGAAAGCAGCTGCATACGGAAATGAATGAGTGTGACTTTGCTTCAGTAAAATTTAAATTTATAGACGTTGAAAAGAATTTCTGTAGTGTTTATGTATGTGTCCAGAAATATTCTTGTTTTGAATAATTTTTTCTAATCATTTAAAAATGTAAAATCTCCTGGGAAGCACCCATGGCTCAACGGAGTAGGGCGCTAGCCCCATATGCCAGAGGTGGTGGGTTCAGACCCAGCCCTGGCCAAAAAAAAATTGTAAAATCTCCTAGGTTCTTTTCTTGGGCTGTGCATAAACACACAGTAGGGCACCGGCCTTCAAAATACTTAACGTACCAATGCAGAAAGAGAAGAAGTGAGCTGATTTCTTACCTTCAGGGCAGAAAGTTCAAATTCTGTCTCTCCTGAATTAGCTTCTCTAGAGCTCAGTTTTAACATCTTGTCTTTCGGTCTTTACCTAGAGCTGTGTGTTCGTTCTGAAAAAGACTTAGTTTGCAACTGTAGTTCAAGGAGGAGTGGTATTTGCTTAATATTATTTTAATTCAATCTTTCTGACACATGCCTAGTCTGTGTTGGCTTTGGGTATAGGCCAGTCAGTGCTTCACTGAATCATTGTTTCATTGAATCATCCTCTCCAAATGTAAAACAGAACAAATTCCTGTATCTTATACTTTGCTACTGGGTTGAAAACCTAGAGTAATGATGAATTTATTGCAGTTTTCTAACAAATATACAGAATCTATTTAAATTCTTAGGGATGTCTTCCTGTTTTGTAACCTCCTTTAAACACATAATTGTCAGAGTACAGAAATGTCTGTCAATAGTGGCACTACCAAGGATTTAAAGGAAAAAGCTACACTTGGGTTTTCATTAGGGTAGTGGCAATACTTAGTCTAGTCTGATACCTGTCATACAAACTAAAGAGTAATTTGTCAGTCTGTAACCTGCTTGACATGTATTGTAAATAATCCCTTACCTTAGAGGTGAAATGCTGAAAGTCATGGTTCATGAAGGAATTAGGCAGTATCGGCATTAATATTTGAGGAGAAAACATATGCATGTGTTAAAAGCTGCAGAATTCTCAATAGTCTTTAACTGATGTTTCTTCACTGGGTTGAAAACGTTCACAATTTTGAGGCAAAGTCATTAACATACATGGTAGAAGCTCCATAACTGACCGTCTCCTAAGTTGACTTAATTTTCACAGATGGGACATGCACCACATGTACCTGTCAGTACAACAGGTGTAGTTCCTTATGCTGACCCCTTCTGTATGCTGACTGGCTTGTCACAGTCCCTTCGGTGCTGCTTACAGAGGTCCTACTGTATTATGGTTCATTACCATTGTTCATTTTGTGGTTGTGTTTTGTTACTAAGTATTGCCAAAGTTGTAATACTAGTTCACTGGTAATACTCAATATTCTCTTACGTAACTGGTTTCAAGGTTCTCAGATTACCTTTTATTGTCTTGTTTCTTCAATGAGTTAATGTATGTAAAGTGTTTAGAGCTTGGCACACAGCATATACAGTTTTGCATTATTGTTACTGATTAGTTGTATAATTCCAGATTCCAGTATCCCATTCACTCATTAAGTAACTAGTGGAATATAGTGGTTTAGACACAGTTACTGCTTTTTGAACATACGTTATAATAGTATCAGGAATACTATCAGAAGTTAATGTTGGGAGATGTGGAACTTGGTTTACTTCTGAAACCTGTAGAATTTGAAGGAACCTCAAAGATTATCTAAAGTATAACACCTTTGCTTTGTGGAAGAAATGGGTTCAGTGTAGTTAAATGACCTAACCTTGTTTCACAACTAGTCAACAGCCAACTGGACTAGAACTGTGCTAGTGATGTTTCCAGAATACTATTGTTTCTTGAAGAATACACTAGATTGGGCCTCAGGAAGCCCAATCCACTAGATTTAGGATGGGTTTTTGTTTTGAACAAGTATTCCTGAGTGATGCTTATGCTCACTAAAATTCAAAAGCATTGCACTGTACTTGTGCTTTGGTGGTAGCTGGAGAAATTCCTTTGGCCATTTTAGGATCAAAGTTGATTTACTTGAAAGTAAGTCTCTTGGTAGTATTTATCTGCATCTAAA